GCATAGCTGGGCTTCAGAATGCAGAGTCAAGGGGCACCCAGACACAGACGTTGCCTTGGGAAGGCCTCCTAGAACAGGGTTTCTAGAGCAGACTGGAAGGAGAGAAAAGGACAGAATCACGAGGACAGCACAGGAGCTCTGTGGCCAGGGGAGGGGGCAGCCGAAGGACAGCATGGGGGCAGACACACATGGCTTGAATGAGGGGCTTGAAGAGAGGTGTGGACCGCAGAGGAAAGCAGGGGAATTGTGAGATGGAAGGGGAAGCTTTGCAACAAGACTGGAGTTTGAAGCTGGGGGCAGAGGCAGGAGGATCTCTGTGAATTCAAGGCCAAAATTCTACATTTTGAGTTCCAGCCCAGCTACATGGTGAGACCCTGTCTCAAAACAAAAACAAATAAACAAAAAACCAATTTTGCTAGCCACTGATGCTGGTATGGTGGGCAATTAACAGTCCTGAAACCCTTATGAGCCCTTAAGTACAGCGGGATAAAGACTGACATCCCTGTGGAAGCGGATGTGCTGCTCAGAATGCTAAGCTCATGACATGAAGAAATGACACTAGTTCCAGTCCTGAACCTGGCACTTCCTCTGACATCGGTAAAATAATGGCTGTCTGCCTTTGCAGTTCAAAACTCTGCAATGCCAAGAGACAAGAGACACTAAGGACCGTTGTGGTGGGTCCTCCACAAATCCATTCAATATTTCCCCTTATACAAGACAAGTCTAAGTTCCCTTTATCCCCATGACTGAATTACAGCTTGAACATATTTACTACGTCAAAGATTAATCCTCTAAACCCAGCAAGCTCGCTGGTTGAGCTGCAAGGAAATATCTCTATAAAATGAATAGACTCTATAAATTATTGGTCACTTACCTAAGGTTGTTACTAAATTATTTTAAAAGGATATATATATTCTGCTCCTACACTCTCACTTCTGTCTTTCTCAGACTAATTGCTTCCTGAACTAGGAAGGGTGTCCAGACAGAGACCTGGGAAGTTTGATATATTCCGGATCCTTCAACTGCTAAGATTCCAGATGATAAATAAACTGTGCAGTGGAATCTGAAGCAACCTATTCAGGCACTTGAAAGGAGTAAGAGGGGAAGTCTCAAGATTACTCTTTCTCTCCCTCTCACATTCTAAGCAGCACAATTCAGTTCAAACAGTTCAGTAGGCTTTCTTAGGGACGTCAGCTTTCCCATGCTTCCACCTCGGCCTTTATCCTGTTTTATGAAGTGTTCATGTCTCTGTCCATCACTCCAGAGTGAAACATCTTTGACAGCAGGGATTGAATTTTATCCCTTTCTAAGTCTGAGCTGGCATAGTGATTGACACATAATTGCACTTAGTAAATGATTGCTCCTTGTGGAACTGTGTAGATGAAGACATTGTAATCAGAGTGGGAAGGTCATTCTAGGGTCTTGTCTTGGTCTTAACCATGCTCCCCCACTCTGGGGACCATGCCCAGCTTCGACAGACGCCCACCCCTCACTCCAGTACCCTCTCCATGTTTCTGTCAGTGCTTACTAGCTCTCCTGTGAAGTCTGGCTTACTTGCCTATCTTCTCACCCACTTGTGTCAAAAAGGTAGAACCCTTGTCACCTTTTGCATCCTTTGTCTGGAATTGTAGCTATCATAAAGTAATTTATTGGATGAATCAGTGAAGCACAGTAACTCATCCTTTCTACATTATGACCGAAGAAAGAATCTTTAAGAGAATATCAAAGGTCAATTTCTGTGATGTATAAATATAACATAATCTACTGACCAAAGAAGAGGCTGACAGAGGCGAGCATATATTTTAACTCTCCAAGTCTGCTTCAAAAAAGTGAGTTGTCTATATGAATTAAATTAGCAAGGTATTTGTTTATCTGTGGCACATTGGAGTATATGAATTTGGGGTCTAAATTGCACTGTGAGAAATGTGGAAAGGAGCAAAACATACAAGTCCTACTATTCAGGGACCATCAGATTGAAACACTTGTCAGCAAAACTCATATAAAAAAGATGAGAAACATGAGTGCCATGTAATTAGCCAAAGAAAGGCATCAGATAAGATAGGTTCTGGGGTACTTGGCTTGGGAAATGAGCAGAGGTTGTGTGGATCATTCCCATTTTGACACATTTTCTTCTTACTGGCCCATGAGAATTGTTTAGACATAACACGGAAAGCACAGATTGAAAGAATGAACAAAAACCTCACAGCTGCTAACGACCTGAAGTATAATTTGGAAGACTGATCAGCATCACAAAGGAAGGAGGAACCAAAATGTCTGGCCAAGGCCATAGGGGCAGCACAACAAGAAGATCTTGGACCTGATTTGTACAGTGTCATGGAATTCCTTCAACAGCTAGGAGTGTACCATAGGGATGATTAGGAGAGATTAATAGGAATACTAACTAATGAATCAACTGAAAGACCAAGACAACACACTCTCAATGATGCATAGTTGGATCTGTTTTCCTAAGGTGGTCCACATTCCAAACATACTCATCTCACACCAAGACCATGTCCTCTGTCTACGAACGGCCTCTCCTGCTCGGCTCCAGGAAGCCTTCCACAACTAATGACTCCTTGGTGACTGTCCTCCAGTCATAGACATTGAGAGGCCAGCCAGACTGTGTGCTGAATTCTAATCCCTGACCTCCTGTCACTAGCTGTGTGCTTTTGGAACACACAGTCTATCTCATCTCAGTGCAAGAGCTACCAGAATAGAAGCCATCTTATCTTTGCTTGTGACTCTTGCTGGCAGAAGGTGTTCATAGCAGGAAAGCAAAGAGTGGCCGCAGACAGCCATCAGCTGGCTCCACTGCCCGCATCGCAGAACCTGCCACGGGCTCTTCTCACACTGGAGTTATGGCTCTCCCTGTAAAAAGTCATTGTAATTATGAAAAATGTGTGGGGCTCTTTCCAGCGTTTAGGCAAAGCCTCTGGCTGTCCGGATGAGCTGAGATTTAAGATCTTGTTCTCCATAAAGATGGCCAGATAGCTGAAGAGATAGATGTGTTGACGCCTAATTGGCCATTGTTGAGTCATCAAATCTGTTTTAGAGAGCAGGATTGGACAGTCCTGACAGGTAAGGGAAGGCAGGACACAGCCCGGGGAAGGGAGGGGGGGGGGGGGGGGGGGCTAGCAAGGGACTATGGCAATCAGTCCCCTCTCTGTATACTGGCTCCCTCAGGAACTTTCACTCCTCCTCTGCACAGAATTTCCAAGAACGGTAGATCTGAACCTTTCTCAGGAGCCTCATTCTACTGAAGACCATGCCATCGCTCTTGTTCAAGGCTCCAGTTCTTTCTGCTCCGTAACTCCGACTGCCTCTGGACAGGCCGGCAACCTCTTATTCTTGAGTTTGTAACACTTTAAATCCACTAGTCAGCATCTTCCCATTTCTTTTTCCTTTAAATAATTTTTTTATTTTATTTTAAATCATGTGCACATAAATGCCTCTGGAGGACGGAGGAGGGATTCAGATCCCCTGAAACTGAAGTTTCAGGCAGTTATGAGCCACCTGATGTGGCAGCTGGGAACTGAACTTGGGTCTGCTGTAAGAGCAGTACCGACTCTTAACTGCCGAGCCATCTCTCCAGCCCCTTGGTTCTACATTTCTGACGTTTCTTGTCACTATTCCGATTACAACTTTCTTATTTTCTTTCTTGTGTGTATAAATGTTCACACATGTGTGGGTTCATGTGTAAATATGAATGCTCTTGCAGGTAGAGGTCAGAGGTTGATGTGAGGAGTCTTCTTTGATTTCTCTCAGCCTTATATATTAAGGTAGTGTGTCTCACAGTGAACTCGGAGCTCACCGATTTGTCCAGTCTAGCTAGCCAACTTGCCCTAGAGATCCCCTGCTTCTGCCTCCCAAGTGCTGGGATCACAGGTAAGCCATCACATTTGCCCAGAATTTATGTGAGTCCTAAGGTTGAATCTGAGTTCTCAAATTTGCCCAGCAAACACTTTGCTCACCTAGTCCTTTCTCTAGACCCTCAACGTCCTTATTTATATTCCCTTTTCAAAGCCATATGAGTTTTAAGAACACCTTTATAGGCATCTAATAATTGTAGTAAACATCATACAACTCAAAGTGGATAAACTAGATTATTTGGGCAATAATTAATTGTAGGCAGAAAATAGTGCAGAGATATCAGCCAGCCTCCAAAGCCTAGGGAGAGATGACAGGCCCAGTATGGATACGAAGGAAGAAAACAGTGCTATCCTCCCTTGTGGCTTCAAAAGGCAGGGAAAGAGAACAATTGATGTGATTGAGGTAAGCATATAAAAGCCAAAGTGTGTGAATCTTCTAGCATCTTTCCTCAGATTTTTCAAGAAATTAAAATAACTGCCCTGGAGAACAGGACAACATGACTTCTCGAGGGAAATCTGTGAATTGTCTTCCTTCTTAGAAAAATGATTGGATTTGTGGAAATGACACAGGCCTAGTGTTCATTTCTAGAGCAAATGTGTGGGGACAAGATGGGAACTCAAGGCCCTGGTCCTCTCTGCTTGTGACATCCTGTCTGCCCAAAGTCTGAGCCAAGAGCGGAAGGTACTACCTCTCAACACATCACTGTCATCCCGTTGTTGGGAACTGAAGCCCAGGATGCAAACCCCACTGCTGAGGTGCAAAACCGGAATGTGGTTGTGCCCATGGACTCAGAAACACGTGTTCCTGATGTCAACTCAAGCCATTCTTCTTTGTCTCCACTATAGCTACCTGAGATATAGTCACCCAAGACAGAGGTAAGAATATTTCATGAAATACCCTTCTTGGTGACTAGTCATGGTGGTACACACATAGGAGGCAGATGTAGGTGAATCTCTGTGATTTCAAGGCCAGCCTAGTCTACATAGCCAATTTCAAGCCAGCCAGGGATATGTAGTAAGACCCTGTCTCAAAAACAAAAACAAAACCAAACCAAAAAAAAAAAAAAAACTCTTCATTTAAAACTGCGCTGGTGTAACATGTCTCATAACTCTTCTACAAACTTAGCTTACCCCTGAGCAACTTTGATGGAACCCACTTCCCCTTCTTCCTGTGTCAAATGAGGTGGCTGGTTACCTCCATCCCTTCCGGTTTCTGTCATTCTATACCCTTTGGGAACCCTTGGCCCTACTTCATGAGCATTCTAGAACATACTGAACTTCCCAAGTGCTCCCTGGGGAGGGAGGATGGCAAACAGCAGAAGGAACCTTGTGGACACCACGTCAGAATTCAAGGCAGGCAAAGCGAGGTGAGAGCCAGGAGCTCCCCTGGGGTACAGAGGGTGCTGGATGCCCTGCTCATCTAGAGTAATTGCTGCCGCCACTGCGCTGACAGTAATAACCCCAGAACCACCGACAGCCCCTTTCATCTGAGAGGTCTCAAAGCGCTCAGCCGCCAGGTGCTTATTAAGCCCTCTTGGATGAGGTTGGCCCAACGGGTCTAGGCCCTTCCTACAGACGGTCAAGGTCGGAGGGTGACTCAGAATCCAAGGAGCCAAATGTTGCAGAGGTTGGGGGTATAAGCTTCCTACACGTGGGAAAATGAGCCTCCTTGGCCCAGTCCTGGGTCTGGACTCCAAGGGAATGGAAAGGAGGCAAACTCCTCCCCATTCTGTCTACAAGCAGGGTCATGTAGAATGAATCCAACATGAGGCTCATTTCCCCCAAATACCAGACAGGACTGTTTACAGCCCGAGAACTGGCAGAAGGCGTAGGGAAGTGGGCATGGGCAGCTCGATTTTGGAAGGCAGGAGCAGACGTAAGGAAAACATCTCCTCTTAAAGGGGATGAGCTCTGGCTGAAGAGACACCACGCGATTCAAGTCTAGCTCTGAGGAGAGTGGTTCTAGGAAGCACAGGTATTGGGAATAACACTGCAGGGAAAGCATAGGAAGCCTGGGTTCAGTCTGGGAGGACAAATGTTTGCCTTCTGTGTTCCACACAGTGGGTAGACCAGATAGTGATTTCTACTCACTGCCCCCCATACTTCCACACCCCTTCTTAGAGCCTCCCCAGTATTACAGTGAGAACTAAGTACATCCCTGGACAAAAACAGCCCATTCTGGCCCAGTCACACCACTGTGGATCCAAAACCATTTTTGAATAACTCTTTCTGATACAGATTTTGAAGCCTGCCTTTAGAATGGGGATTAAACCCATAGACCATTTGGATGGAGCACGAGACAGTCTCAGAAAAGCATAGTCTCTGCTTGCCCCCCTTGCCACTGCCACTCTGGCAACAAAGGCAGAAGAGTCTGCCTGCTGGCATGTGTGCTTTTCAACAGAACCTACGTCAGAAGACACACTTCAGGATACTGAGTTTGGGCGGTGACTCGTGTATACGTAAGGGGACACAGTTGCATACCTGCCCTAATCTTTTTGGAGAACTTCAGCCAAATAAATCACTGCTGAGGCACCCAGTGGTGACTGCTACATTTCAAATGTAATCACTTTCAAGAAAACTGTGTTTTATGTTTTAACCTGAACTCACAAAACATAGAAAGAAGGCAAAAGAGTCGTTCTGTAGACTACCCTATGTATCTGGAGGAAGACTACTTGAGTATATAACAGATTCTGAGAACTAACTGACAACAGGAAACGGTCTTGTGAGGAAGGAGAGTTAGATGATAGCTCCCCGCTGGCCTCTGGAAGCCAAAGCTCAGACCTAGGCTCCTGCTCCCAAATATTTCCATCTTGCCAAAGTTCTCAAGGCAAAGGACACATTAGAAATTCACTCTGGCTGGGTGGTGGTGGTGGTGGCGTATGCCTTTAATCCCAGCACTTGGGAGGAAGAGGCAGGTTGATTTCTATGAGTTCGAGTCCAGCCTGGTCTACAAAGCAAGTTCCAGGATAGCCAAAGGGTGTTACACAGAGAAGCCATGTCTCAAAAACCAAAAACAAAAATAAACAAAAAGAAGAAAGAAAAAGAAATTCAGTCTGTAATTATTTACTGTGCTCATCAAGACCATCACTATGTCTCTGCAAAGGACCTGTTGTTCACCCCCACCCCACCACTCAATGGCAATAGTCCTACATGGAAAATCAGAAGAGACCCATTTGCCTAGAAATGGGGAGACCCCACCCCCAACCTCCAAGAGAAGGGGAGGCAGGGGAAAGACTCTCATTAGCAAGTCGCAGGTGGTGTTACCAGGGTGTTATTTATTATTTGTTGGCTGCCAAGGCTTTCCTGAGCCTGAGCCTGCAAAGGCAGAGCCATTGCCTCAGGGGCTGCAAAGTCTGAGACAGACAGACAACACACAACCCAAGCTTGAAATCCGCCCCACTGGGAGCTGGGGGCAACCTCAGGGATAGGAGTCGCACCCCTTCTACAGAGTCCTCCAGTCCCTGAATGTCTTGGGGAAGGCACAAATGTTCCAGTAAGGACGTAGATTGGAGGCGTGGACTCTGCCAAGGAATGGGGGCTCCAAAGAAAGAGCCCCAGCACAGGTTGGGGCAAGAGGTCTCAGAATGGTGTGAGAGGTAGGAGGAAATGAGATCAGGGTTACAGGCTGGGACAGCAGGCAGAGGAGGCGGGTTGGGGGGAGAGGCGTTGCTGAATGGATGGGGGAGGCCAAGAGATGTCATCAGCTGTTGCGTGGGGGAACACTGATGCCAGAACACAAGTCGTGGCAAGAAATGAGCTGCCAGCGGTACCAAGTGATTGAATGGGCGTTCAACCAGAGGGAAGAGGGGCTGGTCATCAACAATACCCTATGTGGAGATGCTACTGATCTGAGATAGCCCGTTCATTCTACATAAAACAGACTCAAAGGCTCAAGTATGGCACAGTAGGACTCACCAAGACAACCCTGACCACGTATCTCTTTGTTACCTCATCAAGTGAAGAAAACTTCAAGTCTCCTGTGACCTCTTGGCCTAAGGAAGTCATCTAAGGACTCCCTGTGCTCTCAGAGTTCCAACTTCTGGGCCTGGCTTCCTCCTCTGTACCAACTAACTTAGGCAGCATATCTGAAGTGTTAGCAGACAAGATAGGCGTTCCTCTCCAACCAAAGAAAAGTGCTTCCCTGCATTTGTCTGTCTAAAATTCATCTAATTTTTAAAATTATGTGCATGAGTGTGTGCCTGTGTAAGTGTATGTGCCCCACGTGTCTGTAGGTGCCTGAAGAAGCCAGAGTCTTGGATCCCCTGGAGCTGGAACCATAGGCGGCTGTAAGCCGCGTGATGTGGCTACGGAGAACACTGAGCCGTCGCTCACACCCTCTGAGTTTGTGTTTGTTCGCTTCAAGAAAGGCAGACCAGCAAGGAGGAAGGAAGTAGGGGCTCCAGGCTAGAACTGGAAACTGATGAGGTGGGAAGTACCTGAATCACACTCGGCTCTTGCACCATCAGCCTAAGATGAGGCCTGCGAGCACAGGAGAACGGCCCCCAACTGAAGGAGTCAATCATGTGCCAGTTGTGTTAAAAATTCAACCCTTTACTGAAATGTCACCTTTCACTCATCTTTTTCCCTCTTATTTGGAAGAGAAGAATGACAAGTACTCTTCCTCTTAATTTAGAAATCCCAGAAAATGATCGTAAAATCCCAAATCAGGTCACAGATGCCATCAGCCTTTTGCAAGCTCAGCACGCCCAGGCACTCTCTCTGCTTTCTTCCTAAGGCCATCAAACTGGACCAAATGAGGAACTCCAAAAAGAGAAACATTGAGGAGATTCTAACCCCTCCCTCAGAAGTGTGCATCCATGCCCAATACTTTGGAGGGCTCTCCTCACTGAAACAGCTTAATACAGAAACACTGCAGAGTGCTCTAGCTTGTGACTTACGCCCAAGAAGAGAAGCCATACTTCAGTAGATCTATCTGTATCAGGGTCGGCTGAAGTGATACTTTGCAGAGATCCTGTCTAAAATGGCTCCAGGAGACTTAGGTCTGTGCATCACTCATGTACGGACAGTTACGGGATCACTGGTGACTGAGGATCCAACTTCCTTCAGCATATTCAAGACAGGGGTGCAGACAGCATCCTCACCCTAAATAGGATAAGAAAAAGGCATGACTATAATGCAGAATAAATGTATCCCCCCACCCCCCATATTGCTAATGCCTAAATTCTCTATGAATATTGGCACTGAAAAAAAATAGCACAGACAATACAATCATGTTAGATAAATTTTCTAAAATCTGTTGGGTTCTGAAATGGATCATACAAAGCTTTGTACAATGTTTTCCTGTCACATTTAAGCATCTAAACATCTGATCACATCTTCTTAGCGTGCGCTTACTGGGAGTTAGGCAGAGGAAGTAAGTATGAGGCTACACATTCCGAGCAAAGATACCACTGAATGGAAAATAAATCAATAACCACATTTGAATATTCCATTTATTACCAAACTCACAGAGTCACTCTGCACAGAGAAACTCAGAACTGCCATCCATCCACCAGGGGGCCAGGCAGCTGCAGTCTTTCCTTACAGCGAACACAGTGCGGAGAGAAGCGAATGAGATATTATTTCTAACCACCACAGGCTTCTAGGGCACAGGAGGGTCTGTTCTCATAACGTTAATGGCAGAATAAATTCTATCCTTCAATTGGTTTTCAATTTGACTAATTTATTGAAGAAGGAGGCAATCCGGCCAGGCATAGTGGAAAACTTCCTAATAGGAATGTGCCTAATGACCTCTAGACCACTTGACTTTAATAAAAGCATCCAATCCCTTCACTTTTTCAGGCTAGACATGTTGAGGTGGTAGGATGACTCTGCTTCCTCAGAGCCTTGAATCTTCTTGCCTAAGGGAAGCCAGATCCAATATCCAGGAGGTGAGAGCCGCAGTGTTATTTTACAAACAAGCCCTCCCTATATCAACGCCACTTACTGTACTGGAAGCCGGTATTAAGTGAACCGCTAGTGTAGTGCATCAAGGGCTTATTGAATATTGATTCCCATTTACGTGACAGCAAAATGGCCTAAGAAATCTTCTCTGGATGCCTCAGCCCTTTGATAAAGAGGGTGTTAGTTTTGTTTTATGAAGCCGGGATCCAGGCCAGTCACATCTTATAGCTCCACTTACTTTTATTTAATAAAAACAAGGGATGGTATGGGTGAGAAGGGGGAGGGTATTGTATCATGTTGTTTTTCAAGAGGATTCGATCTGTTATCAAAGG